ATAACTTGATGCCCGTAACAGGCAGAAATAGTCTGATTTTCAAAAGTATAACATTCATCATAAAAACTATTCAATGAAAGTAATGTACAATACTCTTATGTAATGACAATTTTCAGTGTTACTATTGAATAGACTGTGACACACGAGGTACCAATAAATCGACATTGTCAGAAACACAAAACACACGTGTCTAATTTTCCGACGGTCAGTAGATAGCATAAAACTAGAAATACACAAGTAAATAAGTTCCTACCGTGATTTTAGACGACTCAAGCAGACCAGGCGCTATTTATCTACCGCTCTCTACTATTATAGTGTGTGGTAACTAACACAATTACCAAAACAAACGCGTATTTGACCTTTGCGTTCCTAAAACTCTGCGGCAGCCGCCATGTTTCGTCTAGTGGCCAAAATACCTAACCAAAACCTATCAATAGGTGGCGCTATAACCAAATAAGGCTATAATATGTGCTTTTGGCCGTAACAGTAACAGTAACAGTAAAGTAAAACCCCAAACAGTTGTACCACAACAGAACAGTGATTCAAAAAAATATAGGACACCAAATATTCTTATAGGTCTGTTCAGCAAAGCAGTGATCTGATTTTGTTAAATTTTACAAACTCAAAAGCATCACTATATGTTGTATTGTTACAATGCAATTAATTGAAACACCAGTTATTTATCTTTGTCAAGCTTTGTTATGATTTATTTCTATGTACATGATTATGATGATAAATAAAGGCTATGGTTGATTTACTAGTTACATGTGCAATTTAGTTCATTTTGTTACTGTCCCCACAAAATTATAATTGTCCCACAAAATTAAAGCTGGTGGGCCACCATGTCCCCATTGTCAAAAATCCTGGCTGCAACCCTGTATGCAAGTACATTTTGGATCAGACCACTGAAAGTTGTCTGAGATTTCGGTCATGATCTGCTTTGAATGTATATGTCACTCAAATATGAACGGAACGGGGACGTGTCATTGACAATGACTTGTTTTCTGATTTGTGAGTAATCGAACCTGTTACAAAGGCAAATTATGGAATATGCATTCCACTGATGTTTTATGCTGGAAGGGATTGCATACACTTAAACTAGATGCCATGTGATTTTTAAAAATCTATGAATAATAGACTAGTGGAGGGCTGTGGGGTGGGCCTTGTATACGGGCACACTGAAATGTTAGTTTTGATGCATCATGTAGTTTGTATGATGTGTCAGGATTTGTTTATAGCATACAAATACTAATTTGTCATGTGGGCTTACTTTTATTTTAACAAAACTTCAGGTAAACCTGCTTATCATTTTGTTGACACTAATGGGCTGAGAATAGTCCCTTTGGTCCCAGGTCTTCATTGCTTTGATAAATTGATGTTTCTTTAACAGCAATCCGCACCAGTGTCTACACAACCCTCATTCCAGCCATCAAACACTTTTGGTCCTCCAACTGGTGGGTATGGTCCATTCAGTGGTTTGTCATATCAATATGGTGTAATGCCTGGTCAACAGTATGCACAGTCTTCACCGATGTCACAAATGGGAGGTAAGTAGGTCTGATGCAAACAGTATGCATAGCCTTCATAGATGTCACAAATGAGAGGTAAGTTGGTCTGATGCAAACAGTATGCACAGCCTTCACCGATGTCACAAATGGGAGGTACGTAGGTCTGATGCAAACAGTATGCATAGCCTTCATAGATGTCACAAATGAGAGGTAAGTTGGTCTGATGCAAACAGTATGCACAGCCTTCACAGATGTCATAAATGGGAGGTAAGTAGGTCTGATGCAAACAGTATGCACAGCCTTCACAGATGTCATAAATGAGAGGTAAATAGGGCTGATGCAAACAGTATGCACAGCCTTCATAGATGTCACAAATGGGAGGTAAATAGGTCTGATGCAAACAGTATGCACAACTTTCATAGATGTCATAAATGAGAGGTAAGTAGGTCTGATGCAAACAGTATGCACAGCCTTCATAGATGTCACAAATGAGAGGTAAGTAGGTCTGATGCAAACAGTATGCACAGCTTTCATAGATGTCACAAATGAGAGGTAAGTTGGTCTGATGCAAACAGTATGCACAGCCTTCACAGATGTCATAAATGGGAGGTAAGTAGGTCTGATGCAAACAGTATGCACAGCCTTCATAGATGTCACAAATGGGAGGTAAATAGGTCTGATGCAAACAGTATGCACAACTTTCATAGATGTCATAAATGAGAGGTAAGTAGGTCTGATGCAAACAGTATGCACAGCCTTCACAGATGTCACAAATGGGAGGTAAATAGGTCTGATGCAAACAGTATGCACAGCCTTCACAGATGTCATAAATGAGGTAAGTAGGTCTGATGCAAACAGTATGCACAGCCTTCACAGATGTCATAAATGAGAGGTAAATAGGTCTGATGCAAACAGTATGCACAGCCTTCACAGATGTCATAAATGAGGTAAGTAGGTCTGATGCAAACAGTATGCACAGCCTTCACCGATGTCACAAATGAGAGGTAAGTAGGTCTGATGCAAACAGTATGCATAGCCTTCATAGATGTCACAAATGGGAGGTAGGTCTGATGTAAACTGGACTATGATTGCGTTTTAAATATTGGGCCGCCAATTATAAGAGAATTTCCATTTTGTGGCCGCTTTTTCCTCCTAAAAAAAAAGTGTTGTCTTTCAGATAGGAACTTGGGTTTTGTTCCCTTCTTGACAGGGCGGACTACAACCCCACCCCCTGCCCGCAAGTCACCTACAATGGAGCAAGGGGTTCAGGCAACAGAATCACCAAAAGATGAGAAAGAAGAGAGGGAGACTTCAAAAACTCAAAGACGGGGCTCTAAAGAAGATAGACCACCAAGTCGAGGGCAGAATAAGGGGGAACAAAGAGATAATAGAGAAAGGAAGAGAGATCAACAACAGAGACAAGGAAACAATCAAGGTACGGTAGTTATAAGTTAATTCATGGTAGATGGTTGGGGTGTTCAATGATTGTTAGAATCATGTTACAATGGGTAATACAGCATATAAACAGTGTCTTTAGTCAAATTGTCTTTTAAGGTAGTAAGATAGTTTATTGGCAAGTGAAATGCCAACCTACAATTGAAAGAAGGGATATTGTTCAATATTGTTTGTTTTAGGACCACATGACCTCCTAAACCAATAAGACTGGTATATTTTGTAACATGGATAAAATTGAAAATGACGACACCACTATGATGACAGTGACCCCAAAAGTCACGTTATCATGGGAAGGAGCTCATGAACTTCGATCCTGTATTTCTAATTTGTCCTTTTCTATTTATTTTTTTCCTGAGCAAATGATTCACATTTCCAACATTTTGTGATTTTACAAGTATGCAGTCCGTTTTTGACTTCGGTAGGCTGCGAGTTTCAAAAAAATATCACTGTAAATGACAGCTACAATGTTCCGAGTCTCTGGGTTTCTCCACGAAGGGTTTTAACTGGGTGCTGCACCCTGCTTTCTGAAATTAAAGCCCTGTCTAAATTGTCAACACTCTGTTAAACTTCCTGAGCGAACCATCGCCATCTCGTAAAAATTCTGACTTATCAAAGCAGGTCACCGTGGGGTGATAACACCACCAAACAGTTTTTGAACATGATTAAAAAAAATAACATTTGGCCTAGAAAAGTGTAGTACCATAGCCATATTTTTACTGTCAAGGTTACGTCAAATATATAAAATCGATATCGGTTAAAACATTCGTTGAGGCACAAGGTTAAAACTAAGTTCACGCAGTCACATGTAGCAGCAACGTCAGTCAAGCGGAACAAAGGCATGATCGGTAAACCTAAACGACCAGCGCAGCTGACACACCACCACAGACATTGCTGATCACCAAGAAGTCCACACGAATGCTTGCTTAAACACGGGTATATTTTGACGAATATCAGTTGAATTTTCTTTAAATCGTGATTTACAAAAAAAAACATGATAAAACAGTCAAACTTTCAATTCTCTTTCATAAGTGGAGGAATTAGATTCACCTGCTTTCTTCTTTGGAACAAATATTCTGATTGGTTGTTTTTCGCGTCGATGCGTGGTTTTATTCAATCAAATGCATCTTTACATAGTATCAGGGTTCACACAGTCAAATAAACTGTTTCCAGATCGTAGCGGTTTTCAACGGAGCAGACAACAACAAACTCGATTTGGATGCAAATTATTTTTTAAATATGAATATTTTGTACAAAATGCTATTTTTTATAGAAATTGTTACCGTAAAAACTCAATCAATTCGGCCATGTAAAAATAAATATTTTTGGGGGTGGGCCAATTGATTGAATAAATATAGAAAATATGTTTCCGAAGTGGTCGATTTGTTTGAATAATTTTTCAACGTTTTAAAACTTGGTTCGAAGTGTGTATCACCGGTAACTGAATAAATATATCGTTTTCCCGAGATTAGAGTAAAGGTGTAGTACTAGTCTGAGACTTGACCCAATTTTAAAACAAAATACAAGCACGTTCAAGAAATCTGACGCAACCAGACCACCTGTTTTGTTGCCGTGAAGACGACAGTTTTATGTCACGCTCCCCGTAAATGTAAACAAACATGGTAACGTGAAAAACTGAATAAATATATCTTTTGCGGGATTGGAGTAAAGGTGTACCGGTAGTACTAGTCTGAGACTTGACCCAATTTTAAAACAAACTACAAGCGCGTTCAAGAAATCTGACGCAACCAGGCCACCTGCTGTTTTGTTGCCGTGGAGACGACAGTTTTATGTCACGCTCCCGTAAATGTAAACAAACATAATAA